CTTTCTCTGTCTTTTAAGGGGCCCTGCTGGCGTAGTGGTTAAAGAGCTCAGCTGCTAACCAAAAGGTTGTTGAATATTGTCCCCATAGAATCCTTCAATACTGCAACTGAAGCCTTGGGATTTTTTCTTCAGTTCTTTCAGCTTGAGAAATGCCAAGCGTGTTCTTCCCTTTTGTTTTCTAACTCAAGGTCTTTGCATATTTTATTATAATACTTTATTTTGTCTTCTCCAGACACCCTTTGAAATCTTCTGTTCAGCTCTTTTCCTTCATCATTTCTTCCATTTACTTTAGCTACTCATCGTTCAAGAGCAAGTTTCAGAGTCTCTTCTGACATCCATTTTGGTCTTTTCTTTCTTTCCTGTCTTTTTAATGACCTCTTGCTTTCTTCATGTATGATGTCCTTGATGTCATTCCACAACTGCTCTGGTCTTGGGTCATTAGTGTTCAATGCGTCAAATCTATTCTTGAGACGGTCTCTAAATTCAGGTGGGATACACTCAAGGCCATACTTTGGCTCTCTTGGACTTGTTCTCATTTTCTTCAGCTTCAACTTGGACTTGCATATAAGTAATTGATAGTTTGTTCCACAGTCAGCCCCTAGCCTTGTTCTGACTGATGTTATTGAGCTTTTCCACTGTCTCTTTCCACAGATGTAGCTGATTTGATTCCTGTGTATTCCATGTGGTGAGGTCTACGTGTATAAAAACCAAAAACCAAACCCACTGCTGTCGAGTTGAATCTGACTCATAGCGACCCTATAGGACAGAATAGTATTGCCCTATAGGGTTTCCAAGGAGTGCCTGGTGGATCTGAACTGCCGACCTTTTGGTTAGCAGCCAAACTCAACCACTACACCACCAGCGTTTCCCTCTACGTGGACAGTCGCTGTTTATGTTGTTGAAAAAAGGTATTTGCAATAAAGAAGTTGTTGTCTTGCAAAAATTCTATCATATGATCTCTGGCATCGTTTCTATTACCAAGGCCATATTTTCCAACTACCGATCCTTCTTTTTTTCCAACTTTCACATTCTAATCACCAGTAATTATCAATGCATCCTGATTGCATGTTTGATAAATTTGAGACTGCAGAATTTGGTAAAAATCTTCAATTTCTTCATCTTTGGCATTAGTGGTTGGTGCCTAACTTTGACTAATAGTCATATTAACTGGTTTTCCTTGGAGGCGTATGGATATTATCCTATCGCTGACAGCACTGTACTTCAGGACAGATCTCAAAATGTTCTTCTTTGACGATGAATGCAATGCCATTGCCATTCCTCTTCAATCTGTCATTCCCAGCGTAGTAGACGATATGATTGTCTGATTCAAAATGACCAATACCAATCCATTTCAGCTCACTGATGCCTAGGATATTGATGTTTATGCATTCCATTTCATTTTTGTTTCCAATTTTCCTAGATTCATACTTCGTACTTCCCACATAATGATTATTAACGGATGTTTGCAGCTATTTCTTCTCATTTTGAGTCGTGCCACATCAGCAAATGAAGGTCTTGAATGCTTGACTCCATCCACGACATTAAGGTCAACTCTATTGTGAGGAGGCAGCTCTTCCCTAGTCATCTTTTGAGTGCCTTTCAACCTGAGGGACTCATCTTCTGGCACTATATCAGACAATGTTCCGCTGCTATTCATAAGATTTTCACTAGCTAATTCTTTTCAGAAGTAGACCACCAGGTGCTTCTTCCTAGTCTGTCTTAATCTTGAAGCTCAGCTGAAACCTGTCTGCTGGTATTTGAATACCAGTGGCATAGCTTTCACCATCACAGCAACACACAATCTCCCACAGCACAACTGACAGACACGTGGGAGAGTATATATATATTTTTGTATAAATAATATACACACACATATCATGCAGGAAGTAAACACAACCAACAATTTAAAAAATGAAATCAGAAAAGAAGTGTATGAAGACAGAACTTCCTTTTTGGTATGTGTACTTTGTTATGATTTGAATCTTTTACCATTAAAATGTATCCATGAGTCATTTGTGTACTCTAAAAAAAAAAAAATGAAGGCAATAGAAGGCAAGTAAAAACTGAATTTGAACACAGGGAAAGAGTGTATTTTCTGAGATGAAGTTCTAAAGTAAATCTTACACATTCCAAGAATCCAAGCTATTACCAGACAAGAATACTTTCAACTCCCTGCTTCCAAATCTCTACTGAAACATCAGTTCATTGAGAACCATCTGACAGCTGTGCAATGTTTCAATTTTCCTAGGATGTTTAGGTTTAATTTCTGGATAAACACAGACCACCACAAGGCTAAGTCCAGAGGTTAGCTTGTGTTGGTCTCCTGTGTCCACTGAGTTTGCTTGATCTACTTCTACAGGGGTCTATGAGGAACTCTCGATGAAATAGCCACAGGAAACCAGCTTTTGCGTTTATGAGATTACTGCTGTTCAGCATACCATCCACCACATCACCTCTAGGAAGAAACATCAAAGAAACTTACTCAGTGTAAAATGGTAAAACAAGTAGTAGTCGTAGTAATATCACCTGAACCTAACTTCAGGGGGGATAATGACCAGGATAAACCCAAAGCTGATTTCCATGAGTTGGAGGTCAGACATACCTCTGCCTTCCAACCTTTTTACCAATTCTGATACCAGCAGTCCCTCCCATGGCATTCTCCATTTCTCTTATGGGTTCGATAATCCGTTGCAATGGCCACACAGAACTCATAGACCATACTTACAGTTAACTGGTTTGTTAAGAAACAGGGTACAACCTGGGATCAAGATCAGGAAGCATGTAGGCAGTCTCCCTTCTTCAGTGCAGGACAGCTCTCTCAGATCCTTTCAGCAGAACAGGCCTCCTCTCGGTCCCCTCATGTGAGGCTCCTCTTGGCCCTGCTGTCTGCTGCCACCAGCTCTGCCACTGGGCCCCTTCCGGTCCTCTTGCTGTCTTCAGTGCTACAGCCCTTGACCAGTGTTACAGCTCTTTTAGGAGGTTCTTTGCCTCCTCTCTCTCTGCTTCTTCTCTTCTTTTTTGCTTCTGCTTCTTACTGTCTACTCAACTTCCGTGGAGCTGACTGCATATATATGTACATACAACTCCTTGTCAATTTCAAGGCATGGACCCTCCCAGTGGGGGTCGCAAATTGATCAATCCCCTCTCAGTAGGCCACAGACACTTCATTTGCACAGTAGGCATGGTTGAGATACAACTCACCTCATTTGCATAGTCTATTGACCAATCCCTGCAAGGTGCATACCAATCACAGGGCAGGCTACACACCAGGACCAGAGAAAAATATCAAAACCAGGTTGTTTATAGTTTCCCCAGGAAATGTTAATTAACCTGGCAAAAGTAACAAATCCTCTAGAATAGAAAACTTGGGCAAAGGTAACTCCTCAGGCCCTAGAGGAAAAATCTCTCAAGCTGTTTTTCCAAAGAATCAAGGCAAAAGGCCACAAAGATACTAATTTACCGCACTCAGACAAAAGTCCCACAAAATACTGAAATCCCCCAAATCTTTTTTCTCCTTTAATCAGTGTATAACATGTAAATTATAATGATTTTCTTGTTTGTTGACAAGAGATATTAAACGCAAGTTGATAGGTAATGCAACCTACAGGATCCACCTATCATATTACATTCCACCATCAGTAATGTGATGCTAACTGTAAAACAATGGTGTGGTGGGTGGCATCAGACCTCCTCATCTAACTTCACAAGTGGGAGGAAAGAGAATCAAGATCAGCATCAGCCCAAGGCTAATTCCCTATGAGACTGAGGTCAGGCATGCCTCCTCTCTCCTCCCTTTTTACCATTTCTGACACCAGCCATCCCTCCCATGACACTGTACTTCTGTGCTGGGTTTGTTAATTCATTGCAGTGGACAAACAGAACTCACAGACAATACTCACAATTATGAGGTTTATTACGGAACTAACAGGCTACAACTCGGGATCAGGATCAGGAGCCATGTAGGCAAAGTCTCCCTTCTTCAGTGCAGGACAGCTCTCCACTCCTCTAGACTGTGCAGGGCTCCTCTCAACCCCGAGGACAGGCTTCTTTAAGTCTCCTGAGGGCATGCCTCTTCTCTTGGCCCTTGGCCCCCGCTCAGGCCTGGCCTCTGCCCTGCTTGGTCAAGTGTTACAAAGCTCTTTAACTCTGCCAGTAAGTGTCCAGAGGCACCCCACTCCATCAGTAAGCCTTGGCCTGATGGCACTCAGGTCTCTTGCTCCATAAGTCAGTGAGCCTAGCTCCGCCAAGTGCCCAAACCTCACTGCAGCCAAAAAGCCTCCAGCCCAAAGGTGCTCAGTTGTCTCACTCTGTGGGACGGCATGCTCACTGTAGCTGCCTCACTCCATAGGCTAGGAAGCCCGTTGTGCTGTCTCCTGCTGCTGTCCTGGTTCTGCTGCTGCCATTTTTCTGCTGCGCTTGCTGCCACCTTCTGTCTTGTACCTTCTCCAGTGTTACAACTCTCTTGTCTCCTGGGTCTAGAAGACTCTAAGCACAAGGACACCGGGTCCAAAGAACACACTCCACTCCTGGTTCTTCTTTCTTGGTGGTAGTGAGGTTTCCCCTCTGCTCTGGGACTGGCATTCTTTTAAAGCCTAGTGGGATGAAAAAACTGACCAATCCCCTCGTTAGTGTTCCATACACCTTATTTCCATGGTCCCACCTCCACAAGGGTGCCATGCACCTTATCTGCATTATTAACAGACTGTCCAATCCTGTTGTTGGGCCACAAACAACTTATTGTCCCATCCATTTATTTTTTGGAGTCATAAGACCATGCATGGTGAAAAGGGTCATATTAAGTAATTCACTGCATGCACTAATCCTGTGAACAATATTCCTGATCCTGCTTTGCCTAATGTCAAAGTCAGAGTCTAGGTTTATTTCTCTTTGGCTCCTACATTTTCAAATATACACTTTTCAGATTAACTAAACTGATATTTTACAGGCCTCTACAAATCTTTTAGAGAACAAAGGAAAGCATAATACAAGGCAAAAGTCACCTGTGTCTTCATCATTTTCTTTTGTTTTTGGGAAATGATCAGCAACTGGGATGCTCTGTCTTTGCGTCTTCTGGATCAGCTCTAAATTTCTGTTCAAATTATCTCAGTCTCCAATGAAGGATATTCCCAGAAAGGGCAGTACCCAAATCCTGGAACTTCTTCCTCCTTCCTTCAATTGATTCTCTTGCTGCTGGAGGGTCGGGACCTGTAGGCTGAAGGGAAAATTCAATTTGAATGGTACACTCCCTCTGGGTAGAGATGCTGTCACTGATCTTTGCACTCACCTTAACACAGGCCCCCAATACTGTTGACTATCCCTTTATTTGGTGCCCCAGGACATTTTACACAACTGGGCAATAAATTTAAGATACAGAATTTGCAGTGATAGGGGTAAAAGAGGTATTTTAAAAAAAAATAGCGCTTGGATAGATAATCAAGCATATATGTGTGGAAAAAATAAGGTTGATCCCTACCCCACAACATACATAAAAATCAATATGGGGTCAACTGTGACTCTCAATGAGAAAGGTAAATCAATAAAGCTTTAAGAAGATAAGATGATATTATGGTATGGAAACATATTTTAAACAGGCCACATAAAGCAGTAATTATACAGTGAAGAATATTCTGATGATGGAACTGTAAAGTGGTACAACTACTTTAGAAATCACTTAGGCATCTCTATTACAGATACACTCTGAAATAACAACTTATGTCTGAGGTATACACCTACATATAAATCCATCCAAATTAAATGCACATTTGAACCACAAGACGTGTACAACTTTCATAGTAGCATTATTCATAATAGCCTAAACTTAAACAGCCCAAATGTACACTAATAGTATGAAAAACTACTATATATTCAAACAATGAAATGCTATACAACTATACCCTCTGAAAGAGAAGAAAGCTTTTTAATGTTTTAGAGTATTATAAATCTAAACAAAAAATAAACAAAGAATCGTATGTGGGAGATCTCATGTGGCCTGCAAAGCCTAAAATATTTACAATGTGGCCACTTCCAGAACAAGTTTGTTAACTATTGTTACAAAGCAAAGCAAGCTGTAACAACATGAATGACTCACAAATATAATATTGAGCAAAATAATCCTGACAAGAAATGCATGATACACAATTTCATTTATATTCAGATTAAAATAGGCAAAACTAAACAAATTATAATGATTAGGAATAATTAACTGCACAGTAAAACTATAAACAAAAGGCTGGAATTGCTTGCTATAAAGACCAGGATGATAATTACCTTTGGGTGTGAGGTTTAGATAGGATTAGGAACACTGGGTGCTCGCAAGGTTCTATTTCTTTTCCTAAGCAATGTTTACGTACATGTATATTGTCCCTTAATAACTGAGTTGTACATTTTTTTAAAGAAAGATACAATCAAAAAAAATAAGAAATGGAAGAGTTCAACGATACAAAAAGCTTGTTCTTTGAAAAGACCAACAAGATACACATATTTGTACTGAGACGATAAAAAGAGAAAGAAAAGTGATGAAAATAAAGACTATAAGAAATTAATGGGAGACATGACTCAGATAATAGATATATTTTTAGTCTGGAAATATTAATACAAACCTTGTGATATCATTAAATTTGAAATCCCAGATGAATTTATAATTTTATGACACCATTTCCTGAAAAGATGCTAACTCTAGACAATACAGCAAGTGAATACTATGAGTAGGCAACAAGACAGAGATCTGTACCTCAACTATAACCCTACTTTCCTATTTTGTATTGACAGGCCAAGCCAATATATCATGATAAGAACAGGATGTAAACATTACAAAGTGAGAAAGACAATTAAGGTTATCTTCAGACAATAAGATCATTGCAGCATGATAGGTTGCTTTTACATGGCCTTTCTAGCCATGGTCTTGTAACTCCCACCAAATGACTGGGTGGGCCTATGCAAACAAGGTGCTTGTGGCACACCAAGGGGATTTGATAGCTTGCTAATAATGTAAATAAGATGCATGGCACCCCTGTGGGGATAGGACCGTGCAAATAAGGTGCATGGAAACTTAATGAGGGGATTGGTCAGTTTTGCCATACTGGGAGACACGGAGAGAGAGACAGAGAGGAGCTATAACATGGAAGACAGTGAGAGATGGCAGCAGCAAGGCCCCCAGCAGGTCCTGGCAGTAGAGGGCAAGAAGAAGCTGTCCTGATCTAAGAACTACATCCTGAGTTGTTCCTATTACTTCAAGTTGATCTCAACTGCAAGTTATACCCTGTTACTTCCCTAATCACTTAACTGTAAGTATGGTTTGTGAATTCTGTGAAATGTTGCAGCAAATTACTGAACCCAAAGACAGGACGCAGAGTACTGAGGAGAGGCAGAGCAGTTGATTTTAGAAATGTTGGAGTGGTACAGAAGTGTGGAAAAGTTGGATATTTGGGACATCTTTAACCTCTGCCTCATAGGAACCAGCTTTGTGCTGATCCTTGCGAAAGAAATTATTCATTTAGTTGGTGTCAGAAGTGGGATGTGTTGCATTGGCTCCAGAATGATGGAATCATGGAATTTTGTAAGAGAAAGAACAAAGCAATGTGGGAAGTAAAACTTACAATTCTTAGATGGTTACTTTGGTTGTTATCTGTAATGGCTGAAAGGAAAGTAAGAGGTGTTATGCTACAGTTGAGGGGAGAAAAGTTGCATCTGGAATGGCTTGGGGCAAAAGCTAGGCCAGATAAACAAGATGATTGATAGGGGGCCAGGGTCATCTGGTTCTACCAAGCCAGAGGCCCAAGGCCACATGCATATAAATGGGAACACAGTTAAGGTGTAGAGAAGATGAAACTGGAATGATTTTAAAAGGGTTATGTGTTACTTTGAATGTATTATGGATACTGAATGTTTCTCCTACCTAGTGTTGTAAAACTGACCTACAAGTATTACAGATAACAGAGAGCATGTATCTCTACCTTCAGCCAATACTTGATTTGATAAAAAGAAAACTAGGATTTTCCTGAAAGAACACAGGCTGTTGGTTTGAATGCAATAACCCTATGTATAGAGCAGCAGGGACTTAAGTCAAAAACTAAGCATTTGAGAAGACACGCAGACCTACCCAGAACTGCTGAGAGAGCAGGAAATTTGCATCTGATGGAAAGACTTGCAGGAAAAAAAAAAAATGACTGTTTTGCTTTTTGAATTTCAAGCAAGCTGTTTGCTGTTGAGTGCATCAAGGTAGGAAAAGTCAGTGTCCATCAGAAGAACCCTCTTCTACAACTGGAAGATAAAGGGAGCTGGCAAGTAAACAGCCTGGTATGCTTGCATGTGGTGACCACCTGGGGGGAGGTGCAGCAATGAAGAGACATGCTGAGCTTAGACATGTTCCACTGGCACCCATTGTCCTAGCCACGGAAGGCAGGGATGACAGAGAAAGGGCTGGCTGCTCTGAAGTGCAGGGAGTTGTGTGGACTCCTGAGCCTACGGGTGGTGCCTACTGACCTAGCCCACAGGAGCTAGGGATGAACTGAACAGAACCTGACTGAATGAAGAGAAGGATGTTTGACATTGTGAACTGTTGTAGATTGCTGCAATTTGATGGCTTGCTCTAGACTGGACTCTGCTTATAGATGCAGATGCTCAAAGTTCAAACGGGAGCAGAAGATTCATCAGATCAAGGAATATGTTCCTCTCCTCAGAGTATTGGTTTGATAGGGTCGGGCAATTTAAACACTGGCTATCTAGAATGAGGGGAGATAACAGCATAAAGTGGCTGCCTTACATACTTTTGTGGGTGTGCTTAGACTCAAAATGAGGGGAAAATGGAAGGATCTCCACTGAACAGATTCCACATTTCCTGATGGGTCTAGGGAAGAGAGAGTGGGGGAAGATGTTGATAGGATTATTTGATTCATTTGTGAGAGTTGATTGTACACAGGATTAACTGTGATTGTAAAAACTGTAATTGTAGAATTCTTAAGTGTAAAAGGGTGGACTAAAGGGGGAGGCACTGCTAAGCTGGAGTACAGTGGCTGAATCTAAAGTCCCTTAAAGGCTTTGCTATGCAAATACCTTGTAACGCTCAGAGCAAGGGAGTAATCTCTCAGTTAAATTTTATCAGAGGCCAGAAAGGGCGGAGCCGAGATGACTTTTGGAGAACCTGACCAGATCAGAGGGACATCTGCAGCAGACCTCAATAGCTGGTAACTGAGTAACTTTACCATGAGGACTCATTACCCTATTGAAGGACTAATTGTTAATGACTGTTTTGACAGGTAAAATGACTGGGAGGGAGAAGTTATCCTCCAAGTATGAAATAACCATGGCTAGAAAAGCCAGGGGATAGCCTGTGGTGCAATGGGTCATTTTTATATGACCTTTCTAGCCATGGTCCAAATGATTGGGTGGGCCTATGCAACTGAGGTGTTTGTGGCCCACCAAGGGGATTGGACAGCTTGCTAATAATACAAATAAGGTACATGGCACTCTTTTGGGGGTAAGACCATGCAAATAAGGCATATGGAACCATAACAAGGGGATTAGTCAGTTTTGCTATCCCACTAGGCTTAAAGGGAGACATTGAGAGGATCTGTAACACAGAAGACAGCAAGAGATGGCAGCAGCAAGGCTCCCAGCAGGGCCTGGCAGCAGTAAGGCACCACCACAGCCTGATGACAGAGGGTGAGAACAAACAACAACTGTGTCCTGAGTTGTTTCTGTTACTTCCAAGTTGATCCTGATCCCAAGCTGTACACATTACTTCCCTGATAAAACACTTAACTGTAAATAAGGTTCATGGGTTTTGTGAGATGCTGTAGCAAATCACTGAAACCAAAGTCCAAAGGGAAAGTACTGAGGGGAGGAAGAGCAGCCGATGTTAAAGATGATAGGGTGGTAGAGCAGTTTGGAAAAGTTGAACATTCGGGACATCTTTAACCTCTGCTTCATAGGAACCAGCTTTGTGCTGATCCTTATAAAATCAATTATTCATTTTATCATCTACATGAAAAAGGAGATTCCTATTTAAAGGAGAAAATGCTATACCACAAATCCTTAAGCAGATTTTCACATATATACATATATACACATATATACTTGGCTAGAACGGTATCATACATCATATTTCCATGCCAATTCTATCACTCACTACCAAAGGGAACTGGAACAAAAACGGTTGCATAAATGTATAAATAATAGCCAACATAAAACTAATTTCCAAAATGTGAAGATAACTCATATCCCCACTTTCCACTTCATCAATCTGACAGCAGCCACCTAGGTGGCACTTTCTCGCTCTGACCCTAACCACCCAGAGCTGGGTCTCCACAAGTGAGGACTCTCTCCTTCCAGCCCCTGCCAAATAGGCAAACACCACCCTCTCTGCTGGTTCTTACTGCTCCCAGAAAATTCAATAATTGGCTAGAATGACTCACAGAACTCACGGAAACCATTAGCTATACTTACAGTTACCCATTTATAATAACCAGAAAGGATACTAAGGAAGAAATGCATCAAGCAAGGTTTGGGGGATGTCCATGCATGGGGCCTCCATTGTCCCCAGCTACACTGTGGTGTAATGAATTACTTAATATGGACCTTCTACCATGGTCTGCATGATTAAAAGTCAGGAGAGGTGTGCATCAGGTTTACATCCTTTCACCATACTTCTTCTATCTGTATGCTGAGCAAATAATCCGATAAGCGGGACTATATGAAGAAGAACGCAGCATTAAGATTGGAGGAAGGTTCATTAACCACCTGTGATATGCAGATGACACAACCTTGCTTGCTGAAATTGAAGAGGACTGGAAGCACCTACTCATGAAGATCAAAGACTACAGCCTTTAGTATGGATTATATCTCAACACCATGATGAAAGGAGAAAATATTGAAGTTGTCAAGTATTTCATTTTACTTGGATCCACAATCAATGCCCATGGAAACAGCAGTCAAGAAATCAAAAGACGCATTGTATAGGGCAAATCTGCTGCAAAAGACCTCTTTAAAGTGTTACAAAGCAAAGATGTAACTTTAAGGACTAAGGTGCGCCTGACCCAAGCCATGGTGTTTTCCATCGCCTCATATGCATGTGAAAGCTGAACAACGAATAAGGAAGACTGAAGAAGAATTGATGCCTTTAAATTATGGTGCTGGCAAAGAATACTGAATATACCATGGACTACTAGATGAATTAACAAATCTGTCCTGGAAGGACAGCCAGAATGCTCCTTAGAAGCAAGGATGGTGAAATTTCATCTCACATACTTTGGACATGTTATCAGGAGGGACCAGTCCCTGAGAAGGACATCATGCTTGGTAAAATAGACAGTCAGCAAAAAAGAAAAAGACTCTCAACAAGATGGATTGACACAGTGGCTTCAACAATGGGCTCAAGCATAACAATGATTGTGAGGATGGCGCGGGACCAGGTAGTGTTTTGTTCTGTTGTACATAGGGTCGCTGAGTCAGAACTGACTCGATGGCATCTAACAACATAACCTAACAGCCATCGTCTTTGTGATTCACACATAATTGTCAAAAGATGCATTGCACTGGGCAAATCTGCTTTTAAAGTGTTGAAAAACAAAGTTGTCACCCTGAAGACTAAGGTGCACCTGACCCAAGCCATAGTGATTTCAATCACCTCATATGCATATGAAAGCTGGACAATAAGGAAGACTGAAGAACTGATGCCTTTGAATTATGGTACTGGTGAAGAACATTGAACATACTATGGACTGCCAAAAGAACGAACAAATCTGCCTTGGAAGAAGTACAACCAGAATGCTCCTTAGAAGCAAAAATGGTGAGACTACATCTCATATACTTTGGACACGTTATCAGGAGGGATTAGTCCTTGGAGAAGGACATCATACTTGGTAAAGTAGAGGGTCAGTGAAAAAGAGGAAAACCCTCAAGGAGATGGACTGACACAGTGGCTGCAACAATGGGCTCGCGCGTAAACAACAATTGTGAGGATGGTGCAGGACCGGGCAGTATTTCGTTCTGTTGTACACTGTGTTGCTAAGAGTCGGAAACGACTCCATGGCACCTAACAACAATGCAAATAAGGTAAATGGAACCGATGATGGTTGGGGTTATGTGCCACCTTGGCTAGGCCATGATTGCCAATATTGTATGGTTGTCTTCCATTTTATGTGTTGTGGATCCTGATCTCTACATGTTGATGAGGCAGGATTGGTAAGGGTTATGTCTTGGGTTGAAGCCTTGCAGGAAGGCATGACTCAAGTTACACCCTTCCCTGGGGCGTGGCCTGCATCTAAGGTATATTTATGTGCCCTGGCAGGGTTCTCTTTGCATCTGGATCCCACGTCCAATTCGTGATCCTCTAACCTCTGGTTCTTGGGGCTTGAGCCAGAGGTCTGCCATCAGACCTCCCAATTCTGGGATTTGCTGGCCTCCACAGACCAACGGGCCGGAAGCCTATCCTGTGACTTGATTCACCAGCTTCCACAGCCTTGTGAGGCAGCAGCCTGTGGTTTGAACTACCAGTTTGGGTTCATCAGCCCCTGCAGCCACATGGGTCGGGAGAAGTTTATGCCTGACCCACAAATTTGGGACTTTGGCAGCCTCCACAACTGCATGAGCCATTTCCTTTATAAGGTTAGTGAGTTCTGTGAGATGTTGCAGTGAATTACAGAACCCAAGGTTGGGAGGGAGAGTACTGAAGGGAGGAGATGTAGTTGATGTTAGAGATGATGGTGTGGTACAGCAGTTTGGAAAAGTTGGGCATTTGGAACACATTTACCCTCTGCCTCATAGGAACCAGCTTTGTTCTGATCCTTATAAAAGAAATTATTCAATTAGACGTGCAGCTCCGTCTCCTGTGCATGGATGTTCTCACCAATCTAGGAGGCCCTAAAACGGGCACTCCAAGATCTCAGGTCCCCTAGTCTTCCAGACCTCAAAGAATACACAAGACTTGGGTCTTAATGCATAGTTATAATCGATCCAGTCAATGAATATGCATGACTGCATCAGGTCCCCCTTTCTTCCTGGAGTTAGTTCACCAGATGCAGGGCCTGGGTAGCCCCTAATGCCTGGCTATTTTTGAAAACAAAGGCATTTTGATTGCTCGGGTTATTTTCAGAAACCAGAGCCAAAGGGCCAAACCAAGTTCTTTGAACCACACTAAAAAACACAAGGACTTACTAATAAACTGGCATATGAGTCACCTTGCCAGAGAGATGATATGGTGAAATAAGTCCCTTTATCTGGCCTTTTTCCTTGGTTCTTTGGAAAAACAGCTTGAGAGATTTTTCTCCTAAGCCCTGAGGAGTTACCTTTGCCCTAGTTTTCTCTCCTAGAGGGTTTGTTACTTTTGTCCAGGTTGACTGACATTTCCTGGGCAAGCTGTAAACAACCTGACTTTTTGTGTAGCCCCGGCCGCAGCCTGTCTTGTGATTGGTACGCACCTTGCGGGGACTGGTCTATAGAATGTGCAAAAAAGTGACTACAGACCATGCAAATAAAGTGTCTGTAGCCTACTATGCCAAGTGTCTGTGGCCTACCGACCATGGCATTGGTGGAGGGCCATGCCTTGCAATTGAAAAGAGTTTGTAGATATAAGCAGCCAACTGCACAGAGCTTTCAGAGACGGAAAGCAGGAAGAGAAGCAGAAAGAAGCAGAAGGTAGAAAGAAGCAGAGAGAGAGAAAGGAGGCAAGGAAGCTCCTAAAAGAGCTGTAACACAGGTCATGGGCCATTACACTGAAGTCACCAATAGACCCAAAGTGGCCAAGCAGAGCTGGTGGCAACAGGCCCACAATGGACCCTGCAGCAGAGTCTCGTGACTGATGACAGGGCCAGAAGGAACCTGTCATGAAGGGGCCAAAAGAACTTGTCCTCAGGGTGCCGAGATGAGGCTTGTCCTGCTGAGAGGGCTGTCCTGCGCTGAAGAAGGGAGAATTTGCCTGCCTGCTTCCTGATCCTGATCCTAAGTTGTAACATGTTGATCCTAATCCTGAGTTGTACCCTGTTACTTCCTTAATAAGCCACTTAACTGTAAGTGTGATTCGGTACAGTGAATTACTTCATATGACCCTTCTAGCCATAGTCTTTGTAATTCCCACCAAATGTCTGGGTGAGACTATGCAAATGAAGTGCTATGGCCCACAAAGGGGATTGGATAGCTTGCTAATAATGTAAATAAGGTGTATGGCACCCTAACGAGGGGACTGGTCAGTTCTGCCAACCCTCTAAGCTTACAATGAGCCATCCCAGAGGCAGACAAGGGGAGCTCACTACCACCAAGAAGAAGAGATGGGAGCGGAGCACATCCTTTGGGCCCAGGGCCCCTGTGCTGGAACCTTCTAGACCGAGGAGACAGGGAGAAAGAGAGCTATAACACGGAAGACAGTGAGAGACAATGGGAAGAAGCAGCAGCAGAGAAACCGAAGCAGCAGAACCAGAAGACCAGCAAGAGATGCCACAGTGGGCTTCTCAGTCCACGGAGTAAGAAAGCCCAACACCTTTGGGCAGGAGGCTTGCTGGCAAAGGGGGGTGCCTCTGGGCACTTGGCAGAGCTAGGCTCACCGACCCATAAAGCTAAGAGATGTATCACTTACCTGAGAAGGCCTCAAGCAGGGCCCATCTACAGAGGGCGAGAATAAGCTGTCCTGATTAAGAATTGTATTCTGAATTGTTCCTGTTACTTTTAATTTGATCTTGATCCTGTGTTGTATCCTGTTACTTCCCTAATAAACCCCATAATTGTGAGTATGGTCTGTGAGTTCTGTGTGGCCATTGAAATGAATTATCAAATCCAGCAGAGAAGTAGAGAGCGCCGTGGGAGGGACAGTTGATGTCAGAATTGGTAAAAAGATTGGTGAGAGGAAGTATGTCTGACCTCCATATCACAGGAATCAGCCTTGCGCAGTGGATGCTGATAATGATTTTCCTTCCTTCTTGTGAAGTTAGAGGAGGTCTGACACCTCCAATGCCATGCCATTTTTACATATGGTATGTGAGGTTTGTGTGTCCATTGCAATGGATTATGGAAGGATTATGGAACCCAAGAGAGAAGTAGAGACTGCCATGGGAGAGACAGCTGGTGTCAGGTTGGTAAAATGGTTGGAGGGTGGAGGTACGTCTGACTTTCGCATCATGGGAATCAGCTGTGGGTTGATCCAGGTCATTATCCCCCCTGATGTTAGACAGGTTCTGATGCTACTACTATTACCTGACCATTTTTAGAGACAAATAATTAACAAAATAGAGATTCTATCAGCAAAGCAAAAAGTGTATATGTATGAGAAGCTTTTCAGGGCCTAAGGTCTCTGTCACAGATTGAGAACAACTGCTACATATTGGTTCCTCTATCTGTACTTAGCCAACCCACAAAATAGAGGTGAAAAGATGTATGATTATCTAAATCAAGGCTTTCAAACTATTGTCTGGGGATCGTACATCCTCTGTCCCAGCAGCTGAGGTTCCAACCTCAATCCAGTCACCAGCCAGGGGTCCTGGGCTTCAAAAGCTTCAGGCCTCACAAGCTCTCTGTACCAGACACAGACCACTGCCACGCCCATATTAATGCAAAACCTAGACCAGACACCGCAAACGAAGTCCATCCCCTACCCGCTCCAACATTACCGAGCCTCATATTAAATCCTAAACCTGAACCAGACGCTGCATTCGTGATAAATACCACCTCTACCCCTTAGAAGCAGAGAGATCCACAAAGACTCCATATCCTGACAGCTGGATCACCCTTAATCATTATACAAAGGTGCTCACTTCAATCTCATGCCTGCTAAATAAATGTTCAAACTCAAGCCATAAATTTCAACTACTCTTCGAAGTATGCTGGGACATTTCCCAGGACTATTTTTCAGAGTCCTATAAAATTTATGCCATGTGTCCTCGGTAAAGTCAAATCCTTCTCAACAAATGATGCTGTTTTTAGCTACCATCGAGTCATGGTGACCTCACGTGTGACAGAGAAGAACTGTGCTCCATAGGGTTTTCTTGGCAGTGATCTTTATTCAAACAATGGAATGCTACTGAGGAACTGTCTATGGCAGGAAAGCAGCCATACACAATAACTAATAAGGATAAGTAAGACCGAAAAAGAATTGATACCTTTGAATTATGTTGTTGGCAAAGAATACTGAATATACCATGGACTGCCAGAAGAACGAACAAATATGTCCTGGAAGAAGTACAGCCGGAATGCTCCTTAGAAGAGAGGGTTGCAAGACTTCGTCTTAGGTACTTTGGACATGTTATCAGGAGGGGCAGTCCCAGGAAAAGGATATCATGCTTTGTAAAGCAGAGGGTCGGCAAAAAAGAGGAAGGCCCTCAACAGACATGGGTTAACACAGTGGCTGCAACAATGGGCTCAAACATAGCAACGATTCTAAGGATGGCGTAGAGCTGGGTAGTGTTTATTTCTGTTGTACACGAGGTCGCTATGTGTCGGAACCGACTCAATGGCACCTAATAACAACAATTTAGGACCTAAGAGACTGGTTTATATCATTCTGACCTTTAAATGTTGCTCTGATCCGGTGAATCGAAGCCAACCTATCATAAACCAGTATCTCATACTAACCAATGAATTACCTTTCGCCGTTTTTATAATCTCTCCCCCCAAATTTGACTTCTCGCTTAACCAATCCTTCGGAACTGGTTAGCGCTTCCTAACTTTAAAACATTGTCCTTCGCTCCCCAACAACGAACTTCGTGCCAATCTGCTAGCAGACTATCTACTTAATAAGCCATGTTTAAAGAACTCTGCATTTCTTTTTAAGTTTCTACACCCTAGAGGCACCGGACTCCCACCTGCTTGCCCCCAAACATCTCCATCCCGGCGTTGCCTTCATTACACCACATCCACACACCTCCCCCGCCTTGTTCCAAGGACAAAAGACACACTGACTTGTTTTCCTCCTGAGCCACGACGAGTTCCGAAACATCGCACTTCCATAAACAACTACTTTTTGACCCCTGGCCCAGAATCCTTGTCCGCCTACGGCGGCCGGGGAGGGTCTGCAACTTTTGAAAGCCGGCGAACAATTGGATTTCCGGCATTGCCCTAGGAGGTAATATGTCTGCACCTTTCTCTCCTTGTCTCTCTGGAGTCGGCCATATTTGAATATCTGCCGTACAAAAGGCAAAGTCGCCGTTCTTTTATGCCAGTAGCCCGGGACGACCTGGAAGCCGAAAAACCATGAAAACTGTCCGGTTTCCTGGAAAATGGATAGCTTTTCAGAGACTCGAGCTTCACAAGGAAATTATGGACCGGATTAAATTACTTTCAGTGGGCTGGACAGAGAAATAATATGGCCGCGCCCTTTTACAATCTTGTTTCATTTTTTTAAAAAAAGAAAAAAACAGTTTGAAAACGTACAAATGTGAATTCAAGTGTCTGCTCAGCAGAGACGCGCTCCTGGGAAAGAAAAACGCAACAACAACAAGAAGCCGGTAAGGGACAACCCCGGAAAGCTTCTGAAGGAAAACGACTTGCAGGAAGTGACTTTTAAAACCAGAAAAAGGTTTGGAGAAGCTGGCACGGTATGACAGTGGCCAATACAGACGAGAAGAAAGAGCAGGTAGAATGAGCCTAGGTTATATTTGAGATGGCGGCATAGGGGAAAGGATATCCCTTTTGGGGACATATAAGTTCCTCGTTGGGAATCCTCTCAGTCCACACCTTATGCATCTCCTTTTTTATGCTCACCCTGATTTGTATCCTTTGGTTAAAATAAATATGTAATAGTAAGTATAGCACTTTCCGTGACTTCTGTAAGTCAGTCCATTGGATTACTTAACCCAAAGGAGTAGGTGGAGCAAGCAGGTAAGAAGTGAAGGAGCCCAGAGGCACTCCAGAGCTTGCAGTGTGAATCCTGAAGGGGGAAGGGAAACCCCAAATTCATAGGTATCAGTTTGAAAGTGTGGCCGTCTTGTGGATTCCCAGACTATGGCTAGTGTCTGCCTATTTGGCAGTCTGAAGGGCTGTGTCCTTTTAACTTGTGAGATCTGACTTAACTCTGGGTGGATGTTGTTGCTGTTAGGTGCCATCAAGTCGATTTGAACACATAGTGACCTTATGTGACAGTAGAATTGCCCCATAGGGTTTTATTGGCTATAGTCTTTATGGAAGCAGATTGCCAGATCTTTCTCCAGTGGAGTCGCTGGGTGGGTTCAAACCGCCAGCCAGCCTTTCGTTTAGCAGAAGCTGGTATCCGAACTTAACAAAGAAGTGAAAAATTAGTAAGTGAATAATTTATTTTATGTGCTGATTCTTATAAAATAAATTTAAACATAAGGAATATTTTTGTGTATCCCTAAATGAACAATTTCTTTTATAAGGATCAGCACAAAGCTGGTTCGTATGAGGCAGAAGTTAAAGATGCCCCAAATGTCCAACTTCTCCAAGCTGTGGTACCACTCCATCTTCTCTAACATCAACTACTCCCCATCCCCTCAGTGCCCTCCCTCCAGTCTTTGGGTTTGGTAATTCGCTGCTACATCTCACAGAACTCACGAACCATAATTACAGTTAAGTGGTTTATTAGGGAAGTAACAGGGTACAACTTGGGATCAGGAACGGCTCAAAAGTAACAGGAACAACTCAGGATACAGTGCTTGATCTGGACAGCTTCTTCTTGCCCTCTGCCACTGGGCCCTACTTGTGGCCTTCTCTGGCAAGTGTTACAGCTCTTAGCTCCATGGGTCAGCAAGCCCCACAGCAGCCGTCTTGCACTGGTGTCCTAGTTCCTGCCATCTCACATCGCTATTGCTATTGCTACTGTTGCACCGCCATCTCTCGCTGTCTTCCATGTTACAGCTCCTTGTTCCCTTTCTGCATGTCTCTCTTTAAGCCTAGCAGATGGCAAAACTGACCAATCCCCTTGTTAGGGTTCCATACACTTTATTTGCATGGTCCCACCCCTGAAGGTTTCCATGCCCCTTATTTGCATTATTAGCAATGCTGTCCAATCCCCTTGGTGGGCCACAAGCACCTTATTTTCTTAGTCCCACCCAATCGTTTAGTAGTAGTCACAAGACCATGCACGGCTAGAAGGGCTATACACCCACTCCTCACTTATCGACACAGTTAGGTTCCAAAGACTAGGTCGTTATGCAAAAATGGAGGATGACCACATGAGATCACAGAATATATGGGACACATCCCTCAGGACCCGAAAGGTGGAAAATGTAGGTGGGTGCTCTATATCCCACTGGTCATGAAAGGGTTACTGCCAGATGTATCTCGTTGTACAATATAGTATGTATGTCGTTCACAATATAGTCAGAAGTAGATTTTTTACTGTTGTCATAAACGCAAAATGTCGAATAACAAGATAGTCAATAAGTGAGGAGTAGATGTATTAAGTAATTAACTGCACCATACTTAGAAACAGTCCTGTAGTGTTCTTGCTTTCAAATTTGATGATAGTTGGCTCTCCTTAGTACGCTTAGGTCTTGGTTCAAATTACATCTGTCCAGAGAGCCTTTCTCTGAAAATTGTTACTAAAGCAGCTCCTCCATTACTATCTCCTCACTTGCTAGGCTTACTTTATTTTTCTTCATAGCACTTATCACTTCCTGACATTATATTATCTACTCTACTATTTGTCTCCCTTGGTAGAGTGCAAGGTCCATAAAGGCTGTTACTTTGCCTCTTTTGTTCACTGATGTATCCCCAGTGTGTAAAAGAATGGTTGGTATAGTGATGGTGCTTTACAATATTTCTGAAGGAGAAAATTACCCACTAACCCAGGATTTAAGACTGAATTCTGAGACAGCCATGGCATGGCAAATGTTCATCTCATTTCCTATAAGTAGAACTCACTGTAACTTAGTATATCTGTGAGTTAATGAATAACAATTTGGCTGTTGTCGTTGGTTTCTGAGAGAACCCTTGGAATTTCCTGAGTGACTGTGGTGCGATGGATCACTTTTATGTGGCCTGTCTCTCTCCAAGGTCTTGTAACTCCCACCAAAGGGCTGGATGGGACCATGTAAATGAGGTACTTGTGACCCATCAAGAAATTGGATAGCTAGCTGATAATGCAAATGAGGTTCATGGAACCCTTGTGGGAATGGAACCATGCAAATAAGGTGTATGAAACACTAACGAGGTGTGGTGTGATGGATCACTTTTATATGGCCTTTCTTACCATGGTCTTGTAACTCCCACCAAGGACTGGGGGACTATGCAAATGAGGTCCTTGTGACCCACCAAAGGGGTTGGATGGATGGCTAATAATGTAAATAAGGTGCATGAAACCCTTGTGGGGGTGGGACCATGCAAATTAGGTGTATGGAACCCTATCAAGGGGATTGGTCAGTTTTGCCATCCCCCTAGGCTTAAAATGAGCTATCCCAGACGTAGAAAGGTGGGACCTCTACCACCAAGAAGAGACAGGAGTGAAGTGTATCCTTTGGACCCAGGATCCTGTGCTGAGAACCTCCTCAACCAGGAGAAAGAGAGTGAAAGAGCTGTAACACCAGAGACAGAGACAGCAAGAAGCAGGGGCAGAGAAATGGCACTTGCAGAGTGGCAGCAGCAGGAGACATCGTGGTAGGCTTTGCAGCCCACAGAGCTAGAAAGCTGAGTGCCTTCAGGCAGGAGGCTTGTTGGCAGAGTGAGGTGCCTCTGGGCACTCATCAGCCAAGGCAGGCTTGCCAACCCATGCAGCTAGACAACTGTGTGACTTTGGGCCAAGGCTTACTGGTGGAGTGGAGTGCTTCTGGGCACTTACTGGTAGAGCTAAAAGAGCTTTGTAACAGTTGCCTGAGCAGAGCAGAGGCTGGGTTGGCCCAAGAGGCCTGAGGGGCTGAGAGCCAGAGAGAGGCCTGCCTTCAGCACAGCTGAGAAAAGGCTATCCTGATCAGAGAACTGAATCCTGAGCATTCCTGAACCTGAATTGTAACCTGTTACTTCCCTAATAAACCCCATGTCTTAGGCTGGGTTCTCTAGAGAAGCAAAACCAGTAAACCATATATATATATGTGTGTATATATATATA